CATGTAATCCATGGATCGCCAAACCAATTATAATAAAATAATAGAATAAAGAAGCATTAATATAAGTAACTTTCAATCACATTGTTACAAAGCTAAAAATATGGTTGAAAAGTAGTAAAAAATATTTTTAGCCTAATTTACCTTGATACTAATTGCAATCAACTTAGAAAGTGGAAAACAAACGTAAAGAAGAGTCCCATCGATAAAAACGTCAACTATCTGAGGTTATAACCAATAGGGGATTGTGTTATGAGGAACAGTTTTGTTAATTGCGTTTGAAAAGAGAAACAAGCAAACATACTAAAACATAATGAGTAGTAATATGAAATACTTGAGAAAATAACAACATGGTTGCCCTTGATCTTTACATAACTTGCTTTTATTAGAAAATATGAATAAGTCCAAAATTGTGATCATTGACTATTTAACAAGATTGTGTTGTGACACTCAGACTCCATTTTTTTCATTTTGACTTAATTTTGTTACATTTAAACACAAGAGCGAACAGTGATCCTATGCGTTGACTCATGATAGCCCAATGCATGACATAGCTACTTACAGTTTTACAGGAGACACAATAATCACTAACAAAAAATATGCGCTTTTTATTCAAGGGCAATGACCCAGCCAAAATCATTCAACTAGAAAAACCCGTGTAATATGCTTAAGTACTATATCATTCCTGTAAAGTTGCCGATATTATGCACATATAGACTTGGTTTTGATCATTCCTGTAAAATTTGGATGAAATTGCACCAGCAGTTTCTGAAGAGTAGTCCAGACAAGCTTCTCCGCATGTAGCTGGCAACACACAAAAAAATCACCTGTTCTATTCAAGGGCAATAACTCCGCCAAAAATCTTTCAGCAAACCATGGTAATATGCTCAACTTCTTGAGCTACCAATCAATCCTGTAAACTTTCATCGAAATCGCGTTGGTAGTATAAGAGGAGTAGTATTGAAAAGCTTCCGCGACACCCTTTTTATTCAAGGACAATAACTCGGCTAAAACCATTCAAGTAATATTTGTTTTTTACATAATACAACTTGGGCTATCGATCAAACCTGTAAAGTTTCATGTGGTATAAGAGGAGTAGTCCAGACAAACTTTAAAAAATATTAAAGGACTATTACTCAGTGACAAAAAAAATAAACTGAAAAATGCAGATGATATGCACAACCAGATTTAGTACTGATCATTTCTGTAATGTTTGGATGAAATTGCACAAGTAGATTTTAAGGAGTAATCCAGACAAGCACGTCTGAAGCCGGCAACACAAAATCACTTTTTTCATTCAAGGCCCATAACTCGGCCAAAAATCATACAAGCAAAAAAAGCTGTGTAATATGAGCAAGTACTTAAGCTACAGATCAATCACTGAAATTGCACAAGTGGAATGAGAGGAATAGTCGTGACAAACAGTAAAGAATCATTAAAAGGCCATAACTCTGACAAAAATCATTGAACAACTACGCTATGCACAACTACACTTGGTACTGATCATTTATGTAACGTTTGGATAAAATTGCACCGGCATTTTTTGAGGAATAGTCCGGACAAGTTTTGCGACAGACGGACAGACAGATAGACGAACGGATATACGGACGGACAAACGATGGGAAGTGATCCTTATATGCCACCACTTCTATGTAGAGGCGATACAACATGAGGGCCATCATGCAGCTTTATCACTCATCAGAGGATATAGTCTTTATAGACAAAATTTAATTACCTTGTCATTTCTATTGTTTCACTTTCATCAAAATTACTAATGGGGATAGTAGATGTTGTTTCTTATTGTTAAGTATTTTTTCTCCTTTTAGCATGAAACGATTCACGCAAATTTTGAAAAGGACCACCCAATTATCACTCACGTAGAAGTTCGTTGATTGAGCTAGATATTCATCAATTGAGCTGATACATGTTGAAGAGGTCATGTTACTTAAAGCCTATTGCTACTTAAAGTTCTGGCCGCCATCTTGTTCAACAAGCTAACACTATTTGAGCAACTTTTGTAAAGGACCTCCAAATGATCATTTCACATCATTGAAATTTATCAAGTGACCAAGCTTACTGTTATTTTCGACTTTGGCAGTTAAAATTTAAATTTATGTATTTATACAAATACGCAAAACCTATATCTCTCAGGGCGAGGCCAATTTTGATTTCAAGGCTATAAAAAAACTTCGGAAAAGCCTAATAGTTGATGTTTCCTGCCACAAATCTTAACTTTAGCTTGTAATGTTTTAGAGAAAATCATTTTTTTTAAAAAGATTTTACCATATGCATACAAGAAAAACCCATGGCCCTAAAATTTTAACAAGCCGTGTAGTGGTTGTCGTGACAATGTTTCATGTCAATAAGTCCAGCTCTAAGCCTTTATAGTTAAATACACAATAAATTTATATATAATTCGACCAAACTTGTTAGTGGTCCACTAGACAATATTACACGTTGAATACCGAAATATTATACTCAACATCACTAATTCCGCGTCATCACTTATTTCACGGTAATGGCATATTTTCATGTGACCAGTGCTAAAATTGGTCAGTATTGACATATTTTATTCGTACACCTAAACAACAAAGTTTTTGTGCAAAATATTTTAAATCTATATATTTTTACTGAAACAGAACAACATTTTACAAATTCTGCAAAAAGCAAAAATAATAATATAATATAATATATATATATATATAATATAAATAATAATGTTCTTGTTTGTTTAAAAAAATAAATTTTGAGTTACAGAGTAAGGATTATTTTAATTTTTAAAATCAAGCAAAAGAACATGTACAACTTTCGTCCGAAGTACTGAATTGGACACATCACAACTTTTCAAGTTACAAGATACGATAAAGCCGATGTACCCTGATTGAAAACGGAAAAGTAGACTGGTGTCCTGCGCACTTATAAAGGAATCATAATAAAAGAAGGAACCAGAATAAACGGAAGCAGTGTATAAAATATTGAATGACAATTTTAAAACGAAAAATGTAAAATAAAAATAAACGATTATTTTATACTATTTCACGACACGGTAAAAGTAAATCGAGCTCGCTTTGAGGCTTTGCCTTTTTCATATTTTTAATTTTTAAAATCAAGCAAAATAACATGTACAAATTTTAACTGAAACATAAAAAACTGAAATGTAACCCCATTACCGCGATTTAAATGATGACATACTGTTTTCAAAATGGCCGACATATGGTCTACGTTTGGTCCATTAAAATTAACTTTGAGTTTCCTTGTGCCATACAGTAGAAAATACCTTTATTTTAAAGATTATGACAATTTTTGTACCATAAGTTTCATTAAATTTTGTTGTTTTCTTCCTAGTTTTAAAGTGTTCAGTACCGTGAACTAAGAGGTGCACAGTATAGCTGTTATGGTTTCAAAGGAGATGATTTTTTAAAGTTTTTACTTTATTCAGGGAAGGTGATATTTAAAGAATTTACTATAAACATATAAGAAAACCCCATGAGCCCTAAGGCCACCAGGGCCACAATTTGACCTGAGGGTTTTTATTTGAACAAGATTGGTAGAGTTGCACTTTATGATATATATGAATATCTTAGCTCTATGCCAAATATTCTTCTTTCGGTTGCCAAGACATGAATATTTTGCATGAGAACAACTTTATAAGATCTCAAGATGATCATTCCTATAACAAGTTTTGATATTACTGACAAGTTCTGGTTAAGGCGGAAATGTTGTTCAAAGAAGAGTGGACAGACGGATGACGGATGGCATGGAGCTAAATATATATAATGTATATCTGTGAGTATGGTGAGTGGTGACAATAGCTCACCTTGAGCAAAATTGTGATCTGGCAAGCATAAAAGATATTACTTCATAGGCAAATTCGGAGGGCATGTGGGATAATTATCACAATTTAAATCAAGTCAAATTATTAACCTGTAATAAGACTCGATTGTTGATCAAATACATGTACAGATAAGTTTTAGGTTAAAGTAATACATTCTAACACAAATTTATAACTTGATGTGTTTGTAAACAAATGGACATTACATCTGAACATTAATTACACATAAATATACGAAAGAGGTGCATCCTTAAAGGCATCCTATTCCAAGATATAAGATCTTGTATTAAAATGGAACACATAAAGAAATCCAAGTGACTCTAGCTACGTTTGTAAACACAGGAAACAAATAAAAAAAATTGACCTGAGACTAATTTGGAAGCCTTTTCTTTAGTCTCCGTAATTTATTAATATTTACTAACTGATTTTTAATGATAAGAAAGTTCTCGATACTTTTTTTCATACTAACGTCCCGCAGGCTGGAGGTAAACTACAAGATAAGCTAAGATAAGATAAGCTACAAGTTCGAATCCTCAAAAAAATATTTTTTCATAATTTGTTTTCTAAATATATATGGCATAAGTAGATGAATCATTTCTTTAATTTCTTGCGTCTTTTTAATAGAAAAAAAATCATAACTTTGATAATTTTATATACATGTACATTGTATAATTATGTAAATTTTATAACTTTAATTTGAACAGTGACTACAGTCGTACAATTGGTGATTGGCATGTACACAAACTTAGTAGTCAAGTTTCGCAAAATCTAATTAAAAAAAAAATGAAAAATAATGTTCATTAAAGGAGCCCACTGAGGTCCGTACGGTAAAATGGACCCAACATTTTTTTATCAAATTTCCACAAAACAAACTATATCTTAGCAAAAAATTGACAAATATATCATATCACCCACCATATCACAACGCTAGAAAACATACATTTCACCCGACCAGTTTAAGGTTTCGTCAAAAAAATAGAAGTTGGTTTTCTCCCGACGTGTAAATTATTACCCATGACTTATTTATTTACAGACATATGTATGAAAACGTAATGACAGACATACATACAAAAGCATTTAAAAACCGCATAAATATCGATAGTTATATCCTTGGTACGGTCCGCCTTGTCGCACGGTCCGCCCTGTCCTACGACTTCTACCCACAATTCTTCATAAACCAAATCCAACATGGCGAAGCAATCATCTTCTGATGAGGAAGTGAGTTACTTTTTAACTATTTAAAGTTTTAAAGCTGTTTTTCGTATTAAACCTTTCCATGTTTATCTCAGATATATCATATTAGTTTCATGTACTTATTAATAAGGCTGGTATGTTACGAAAGTGTGTCATTTTGTTCGTAAATAACGATAATCCTGATTACCAAATAATTCGGTTTTGGAGGGACCGTCTCAAAATAATGATGTCGACAAAAAATTATTCGAAAATGTTTGCGATTTGTTTCCAAAGGCATAATTTGCATGAAACCTTAATCATGGTGTTATTGTGTAAACATGTCTATATAATTAAGGATGGTGTTGCCTCAAATTTTATTTAAACTGTATTTATATTGACAGAGTACTATAACATGTGACTTCCCTTTACCTGTTTACCTGTAAGTAATGATGAAAATTATTAATTGCCATACATGGCCATTGTGGTTAATTACCTGCATGGCCAACGCGTCTCTAGAAAAGTGTAAGGCAGCTAAGACTCCCATGCTACTCAAAACACCACCCAGGGCTTCATTTTCTGAAACTGTTTATAAGAAATGTGAAAAAAATCACAATTTTGACCCTTAATTCATGCATAAATGTGAAAAAATTTATCTCTCAAGAAAGTTTTTCTTATCATAATTATACATTCATATACCTGATTAAAGCATGAGACCTTCTACAATACCATATTGAAATTTGCTTTCAGCAAAATAAACCATTATATACTGTATATACATGAGTAACTGGAAATATAAATACTCAGCATCATGTCTACGTCGCTCAGGTTTATGACATTAATGGATGATAGATAAATCATGGGTATTCGAACCTACAACAATCAGTTAGAAACTTCGAAGGTAGTTATGCATGTGCTGTCGGTAATGTATAGTTACATAAACTATGTATACCTTTAGAATCCGTAAAATTCACTTCGGAATCCGACAATTACCAACAAAAGCTCATTGAATATTCAAATGTCTCGGGTCAATATTGCCAAATAATAATCAATGTACATGATGTAAATGAAAACATTTAAGATTAAACACCATAAACACTGCTACTTAAAATAGATTGTATGACAACAGATAAACCAGGGCTTCTATGTCAAATAAAGAATTTTATCGTCTCCTTAGTCCTTAGTGCAATAACTGGATAACTCCTATTAAAATTCGAAAAGACTTAACCTGTTACTGCATTAAAGGTGACATTATGGTTACAATGATCAATACACAGTAATTTAATCCACTATGTTTAAAGTTTGTAAATAACTACCCTTAATGATTGTTTAAATATGTTGTCCCTTACTGCTTTAAATTATTGGTTTTGTAAATATTGAAAATGACACAAATAGCATTTTGTTGTAAGTATTAATATATATTACTTAAATAATTTCATAAACCGTACCTAGCCTTCTTTAGTGCCCAATATGTTTATATTACATTTATTATACATGTAACTGATTTATAACTACATGTACTCAAATAACAAAGTCCAAAATATCGTACACTGATAACGCTGTCAGTAAATCTATTTAGATAAAAAAAAAACTAGGACGATTTAAATAACTACACTATTGATATTACCCCTGAAGGAAATGAATAGAGCTGTTCTACATTTACTAGTGGAATATAAACTTCTTAAACTGGTAATCAATAATCTCCGTTATGTTTTATTGTAGTAACTAGGAAGAAAAAAAACGACATTGTAGAAAATGGCGGACGGAGGTATTGGATCAGATGAATTTGTCAACTTTAAATGTTGTTTATGTGAAAAGAAAAATATAACAAAAGAGGCGGATATTTATTGTGTGGAATGTCAGGATTATTACTGTTCACCATGTACAGACTTGCACAAAATGTTTCCTTTAATGAGCACGCATCAGTTTATAGACAAGTCAAGTTTCAACACAGTTAGCTTACAGAAATCGTTGCCAAGTTTTCCAGTTGAAAAATGTGAAGTTCATAAAACCAAGCTGCTAGATATGTATTGTGCTGACCACGATGTTGTAGCATGTGCGACATGTATAGCTATAAAACACAGGTTTTATTCTTTAATTATTGTATTTAATTGAATTGAAATTAAAAGTTTAGGCAGTCGCATTTTTCAGTGAATATGCATTTACCTGAAACTGAAATAAAGACAATTCTAGGAATAAAAAGATATTTCAAATGCCATGTCACCTAAGCAACACAACATACTGCCTCGGAATATTTCTATTATCTATTTTCTCAATTTTAGACACAATTGGTTAGTTAGTCATATGATGATATATTACTCAGTAAGGCATAGTTTATATAACCCAGAAAGATCATTGCACCTGATCAGTAGATGGCATCTAATAATTATGAGGTCATTGGGTCAAAAGTCAGGGTCACAGTAACGCTAAATGTAAAATTATTGTCCTGTAAATATGTTGTATAAATGGCACTTTGACAGGCTGGTGAAGTTGAAGCATCCTTGTACTATAGCACATTTCTAGTTAACCCTTTACCTCATATATACGCGAAACAACGCACTTTCGACCCCTCCCCCTTTTTAAGGCCTGAAATAGTGAAAAAATGTCCATTTGGGCCCCAAACACATGTTTTCGTTTGAGAAATGTTGCTAAAAAAAGTGAGCACTTTTTCGGCCTCGCCCCCCATCCAAAAGATACATCAGGGGGTTGCCAGAAGTGGGATGTGCCCCCTTCTGTTTGGGGGGTTTGAAGAGGGGCGGAGTCCCCCCCATCGCCAAGAAAATGTTGGACTTGTGAGAGGCTAAAAATGACCCAAGGTCGATCATAAGGTAACGTGTAACCAACGCTGAAAGGCCTTTGACATTATCTCAATCCCTTGAGAAGTTGCAGCACTTTGAAATCAATTTTGATGGAAAAAATCGAGGCAAAATAGTGATTTTTGGCAATTTTGAGATGTTGCCATGGTAACAGGAAATTTCAGACTGAGCATGTTGTTACAAAGGCAATGGTCCAGTCAACATTTGTGCTAAGTTTTATTAGTATTGAAGCATTTTTCATAGTTTCATAGCAGTTTGAACTTGTAACAGGAGGCTTTTCATTAAAAACGGCCATTTTTCTCAATATGCTCACGAGGGAAAGGGTTAACTAAAAATTTTTATATAAATGGTGTGATCTGATTGGTTATTTATCACGTGGCCACGACTATGTAACTCGTGGCCACGGCATAGCTATCTCGTGGCTACGACTTAGCTATCTCGTGGCCATGACTTAGTAGCCCGTGGCCACAACATAGTATCTCGTGGCCAAGACTTACTAACTTGTGTTCACGACATGGTATCTCGTGCGCACGAGATAAATAAAAAAACACACATGTCACCTGTGTGCCACCGTAAAGACGTCTGTTTTATAACGTTGTAATTATGGGTTTAGAACATATAGGACACTTTTCACCTGAAGAAAAAATAGCCTTGCATGTGATAATTTATTTGTTATAAAAAGAAAGCAAAATGTAAAGATAGTGGTATTGTAACAAAATAAGGCTAACTTTACATGTATGGCCGATGAATAAATTGTAAATGGGTCTATAACTAATATCACAGATCATATTAATATTATATTTTTACATTAAAATTTTCAGAACATGTCAAAATATACATTCGATAACAGATGAAGTTGATGACTTGTGTAAGGAGATTGATGCTGATGAAACAAATATTGAGCTAATCCGCATAAAAACTAAAATTGAGGAGGCTGAGAGAGCAAAGAAACTTCTTAACAAAGAGCTCAATGCACAGAAGGAGAAGGCAACAGAGTCAATAAGAAAATTCAGAAAAGAAATGGAAGTAATACTGGACACACTTGAAAAGGCTACATTAAAAACTTTAGAGGAAAAGTACATAAATTGCAAAGAAAAACTAGAGAACGAGATTGAAAACCTACATAGACATATTGATGGACTCAGACTTTCATCACAAAAACTAACAAAGTCAGTTGGGAATAAAGCACAGGAGTTTGTTGCTGTGAAAACTTCTCGGAAACAAATCATTGAAGCTAATGAAGCAGAGGCAGAGTTTGTGACAAATTCATCAGATGTTAAAGTTGAATTCATTGCTGATTCAACAATAAAGGATGCTTTGAAAGACTTCAAGACATTTGGATTCATTTCAGTGAGTAATACTGAAAATATAAGAGACAAAATGTATGTTGTGAAAAGCAAGAAACCAGTCAACATTAAACATCAAACTGATAGGAAGACATGTAATGTTATTGGTTCATGTTTCACAGATGATGGACTATTACTTCTAGCTGACCATAATAACCAAAAATTAAAGCTTATTGATTTGTCCTCAGAATCCATAAAAGATAAGATCAATCTCGAAGCACCGCCATTAAGAATTTGTCAAATAAGTAAAATCGACTTTGCAGTAAGTTTGAGCAATCACACCATTCAATTTGTTACAATGGGCAACAAACTTATTACCAACAAACGACTGAAGCTAGGACATTACTGTAACGGACTGGCCTACAAAGACAACAAGTTTTTCATCTCTGATTTTCAGGCAGCACTCTACATTCATAATATGAATGGCATTATGTTAAAAAAAATCACAACTGATAAACAAGGCAATGCAATTTTCAAAAGAAACAGAAATATCAGTGTTAGCAGTGATGGCAAGATGATTTATGTCGCTGATTATGATAAGGGTCTGATTGTCCTTGATCTTGAGGGAAATTACAAGGCAACAATTACTGATCCTCATTTTATTAATTTAGTTGGAGTTTGTACCGACAAACAAGGAAACATATTTGTGTGTGGATGGGATGAGTCTAAAATTGTTCAGATCAATGAGAAGTCTGCTGTAAAAATGAGCGTACTTGGCAATGTGTCTAATAGTTGTTCATGTAGCTTTCATTTTAAACATAACAGACTGGCAGTTATTACTTACAACAGCGATACAATTGAGTTGTATGATTTACTGTAAATCCAATATACTGACACCAATCAAACTATTGATGTTAAAAAAAGGAGGTTATTTACACATAGTGACATACTTTTATCACAAATGTTTTACAACAAAGAAAAACTTCATATTCCTTTTAATGATATCATTTTTATGCTTTCCTTAAAAATGAAGTGCTATAAGTTAAAAAAAAAATGTTTTTTTTTCAAACATTCAATAATTTTGGAATAAGCTCTACTTAGCTTACTGTGTAATACACAGAGGACATGAATGCGTGTTAGTTTAATACTGAATTTATTGAACAAGTTAAGAAAAGTTATATAATGCAAGCCTTTGGCGAGCATAATATATTATTTTATACAACAAGTTCAGTTCAATATATTTAGCAATGAACTTACACGAATTTAATATTCTATTTATCATATACCAAAAGAAAGACCGTTTGAAGTGAAAAAAGAACAATTTTTTTTTGACGCGCCTATAGTATGACGCTAACAATTAGCGCGTCTTAATTAACGCTATGTTTGAATAGGGCAAATAGCGTCAGGTATAAATATATGCACGGCCGTGCAATACCATTTAACGGAGTCGCAAAAGCGAATGAAGTTTTATTATGCAAAGATAAAGGGGAAATGCTTGTATTATATTTCACTGCTTATATTATGTGTTATGTATGTGCTTTTGTGTGACTGTTATGTGAAATATTATCAAGGGTTCAATTTTTCCAAAATGTATGAATGATAGAGGCTTTATTAAATTGTATTCAATACCAAAAATGTGTATCTTTGTTTAGCATCTCCAATGAGTAATCCTGTACCTGTGTATCAAGCACTGAATAAGACAGAAACAAGCTGAAATCTAGTTTGTGACTTCTAATGTACCCAACAGTATATGATTGTTTTAGTAAGATTTTTTAATGGGATGGTATAATATTATCCTTTTTTGCATCTTTTGAAATTCTGTTGTTAAGCAATCAAATATAGTGATTCACACATGTAAAATGATGATAGCATATACCAAAAAAGTGAATTCTTCTATAACATAAGTCTCATGGAATATCTATACTCAGTTAAATCTATCTGTGATATAAAGAAGCTTAAACCATTTTATATTTTGGGACAGTTTTAAACAAGAACCTGTTTGATCAGCACAAATGCCCCTGGCCCAGATTCTTGTCATTAACATTTTTAGAAAAAGGTTTACCAATTCACACAGTTATGGACAGAAAACTTGCCAACATAAGAACTGTCATTGGAATCAGAAAAATGCCCCACCCCCTAGCAGGGCCAAGTAGAGTGTCCACGACCTTGACTTGCATCAAAAGTAAGGTTACAATAAACAAGTATTTTAATAAATATAGAAACATCAATAAATATATCCCATATTCTCAGTTAGCCCTAGTATTTAAAACAATTTTAACAAAAATATGACTAGACACAACCATCAATGTAATATTTTCACATTGTATAACCATCATCTTTTTAACCGTCGAACCCGGCCTGTCGAATACTGCAGACAATCTTTTGTGTTAAGCTGAGAATACACACAAAAAACACCTTTTTATTCAAGAACCATAATTTGGCCAAAAATCATTCAAACAAAAATTTTAACCTACCAATTAATCCTATGAAGTTTCTTTGAAATTGTATTAGTGGTTTAAGACAAACTTTTAACACCCTTTTTGTTCAAGGGCCATAACTCGGCCAAAAATCATTCAACAGGTAAACCCGTGTAATATGGACTTTAGCTACAAATCAATCCTGTAAAGATTCATTGAAATTGCTTCAGTGGTATACGATAAGACGTTCACATCTTTAGAAATAAAATTGTTGAAGGGCCACAACTCTTAAAAAATCATTGAACCTGAAAATGCCGACAATATGCACAACTAGACTTACTGATTATTCCTGTAAAGTTTGGATGAAAGTGCACCCATACTTTTTGAGGAGAAGTTCGGACAAGTTTTGTGACAGACAGACAGGCAGATAGCCAGCTACCCATTTAAGAATGCGCATCTCTGACTTCTTAACTAAATGCAAATAACTTTAAATAAAATTGTCAAGGAAAGTATATGTATTCTTAAAGAAAAAATGTTACTTGTAAGTCTTAAAGACTTTATTGGGTAAACTATTTCAATCATCATTGTGGCTACTCATTTATATTAATGTCGCATTTGTTAAATATTGCATTCTTATTTAAAATACAATTAAACTTGCAGTTACAATTCAAGCAACTGAATGTCAACAAGCACTTCTAAAAATCCATTTTCTTATTTATCTGTTAGCCTTCTGAAATAGAAAATGACTAGATTTTTCCATCATTACACAACAACACCAGCCTGCACGTTCCCACAGTATGACCATGATCTTTATTCTTCTTAGCTAATTGTTAGTGTGTGTGTGTGTTTTTTGTTGTTTTTTTTTCAAATAAAATTCATTATAAATATTAATGGACTCTCCCAGAAACAAAGCAGATCAAATCTCTTTGACAAATTTCAGCAACAGGTTAAGGGTAATGCATGTACATTTAATTTGTGGTCAAAACGATTGCGCGAAAGTTTGTCTCCGCGAAAATGCCATTCAAATGAAAAACGCGAAATATTGTGTCTGCGAAAGTTTCTAGGAACTAGTAATGAAAAAATAAATCAACTGACCTTGACCTTCATGGTTTAATATAACAAGAATAAGTTCCAGTTCCAGGTTTCTGCTCTCTGGAACAATAAGCCGGGTCTTCTTCCACTCTCTTGTCTTTATGACAATGAGCAGTGAACAATCTGTTCACCTGTTTCAAAGGGGGGAAAATCTAAATAAAGAATAACAGTTTAAGGAAAGAAAAAATATTTTTGCTTTTGGAGTTTGGGTTCATTTACATAACCTGTCTGAAGAACAAAAATATAACAACAGAATGTTAATGCACCCTTTGTCATGCAAAGCAAGTCACATTTCAGGTTGTAATATTTAATTAAGTTTGAACGCTTTGCAAATGTCAATGCACAAAATAAAGTTCATTAGCACTATTTTTGCTTTAAAGTATAAGTCTAATTCTGTAATTCCACATTTCCTTATTTGAACTCTATATAAGGAAAACAATTTTGCCATGCATTTTATGGGCTGACACTAATCCCACATGCCTTCTGAATGAGACGTGAGAAACTCATGACCATTAAACTTTTGTCCGAGATCGATTGTCAAAGAAAGGATTCGGCTTGCCCAAGGAATCAAATCAGCAATACCTGAATCCAACACATTCATAAATGTTCAACATTTCTACAATCATGAATACCTGAGAAAAAATTATAGATATGAATTACCTCCGAAACATTGTTGACTACAATCAGAGAGTACAACACTCCATGTAAAGTTGTACAAAGATGGAGGGTTTTAGTTCTGATTTCTAGGCACCGTAAAACTGTATCAACACCTTATAGAGAACAATATTCAATTTATCTGTATTAATACAAGATACATACATAATGGTGCTTTAAACCTTCTTTGAACGTGTGCTGTACAATAGCCTTTGGGATGTTAATTCTTATGCATATACTTTAGAGGTAACTTGATATCTCCCTTACCAAGATCAGATCTTTCAAAATTCTATTTGATCTAGCTTTGGCTATCATTTTCTTGTGTAAGGCACATGCATTCTTTTGTATGAGGACCATACACCGATTTTTATGGAATGGCATAAACATATCTCATTGAAGCTCCCATGATAACTATCACATCAACACATCTGCTGATTCGAGAAATCAAAATTCTACCATTTCATAATAAATGTTGAATTCTGCTCAAGCCGGGACTAGGGGATGTGGTGGGTTTTGCTATTTTTGACGTTCAAATGGGATTCTTGTTTTCTCTATTTCCTCATAATCCAACAAATTTATTAAAAATAACTATTTAACTAAGAAAAAGATGTACTCGTATTAAAGAATTTACACTGATATTTGAGATTAAAGATTGTATAAATACATTGTATATTCTTTATGCATGATTAAATGATTTTCTTGGGTTATCAAATTAAAATCGTCAGTGCAAAATATCTGTGACATCTTTACTGGTGTAAAATTCAAACAATAAAATTTCTTACACTTGTCTTACCTCTAACACCAAATCGTCTTGTAAAGGTCCATCAGCAACTAGTGACTCGGGAACGTTGTAAGGTCGTCGGTAAATTAACTTGGCCCGGATATGCTGTGCACGCCGTCAAGTGCACAGTTTACTTTCAGATGATACTCTTCGTGCCTGTCTCGTGAAGTCAGGTATTTGCTTCGGGCAATACCCGCTTTTTCTACTTTAATACTACTTGACCCTCTTAGTAAGTATACCACACGCACATATGCTAAAGTCAATGTTATTTAAAGCTCAAGGTAAAGGTCAATTCAACCGTTTAGAAGGTCTTGTCCAAAATGTTGTTTTGTCAAAGAATGAAGATTTTTCATTAATTAATTTTCAAGTTACAATTTCTCAGTTAATTAGATTCGCTAGAGCTTGTAGCAACGTAAAGGATTTCAACGAGCGGAATATTTTTATTACCAGCAAGCTTCTAAAACAGGGCTACCGCTATCATAAATTACAGAAATATTTTACTAAATTATACAATCGTAACTTTGATTTTATTTCTAAATTCAATAGTGATTTAAAAACTCTTCTGCGACAAGGGATTAGCCAGCCTGGTTTTTATGGCGATGTGATTTACAAACTTCGTAAGATTTTGGGTCATGGTAATTTGTTTGATGTTTTTACTAAAATCATTAAACGTTTTATTAAAAGAGGTTATGACCCTACTATTTTTAGACATACTGCATGTTTAGTGTTCAACCCTTTTACAGTTGGACACTACGCTTTCCTCTTTTGATTGCATCTGACGGACCAAGTGGGAGACTCTATGATGGATAGTTCGTAAAGCCCTTTGGGACTGAATTGTCTTAATCTTCGTATTCTGTCTTGCTTCGTTGGGCCCTTGTAGGTGAATTACTTGTTGCTCTGTCTTCCTTTAGGACATTGAGTACTTTTGTTATGGTCATTGGGTTTACTTTTATATGTTTCTACATGATCGTTTTAGTGTTTTACTTATTTAACCTTTTGTAACCATGACAACTGTTAGAATTTCACTTGGCGGGGATTCATTTTATTTACACTGCCTCGTTTATAGGAACATGGTGGGGCTAAGAGCGAGGTTTGGTGCACCATTAACCGGTTTAAACTCCCCAGCAGTCATTATTATGCTGCTGACCGTTCCAAGGCGGCGCCCCACTGTGTTCCTCAGATGTATGTCTATGTTGTTTCATACTGTTTTGGTGACACTTTTGCTTGTGTCCCTTGTTGTTTTCTCGTCTACGTTAAGTATCTTCCCCATTGCCTCTAGTTCTTATTTCTTTGATTACACCCCCCTTCCCCCGGTCTCCTGCCCCTTCCCCTTTGTGGGCCTATTATTATTTTCTTTGAATTCCTAATCAGTTACAAATTATTTATCATTTAATGATTAACCTGTCCGTGCTCTGTCTTTGCCCTGTCCTGTTTTTGTTTGGTGTCCGCCTGGGCTCCTTGCCATTGGTTCTTGTTGCTGGGTCATATGGGGTCATTGAACGCCGCCTTTCCTTGTTGATCTTGTTTATCATATTTTACAGTCAATTTTAGCAAAAATCAGTGAACATTCAATATTTTTACCTGTAAGGTCAAGGTCATACATATGTCAATGTCAATTTGAGTTTACTATAAATGCCGGTCTCTGCAGTTTTCATGTAATTTTGTTGTGATTAATGCTTCCGAAGGATAACTTTGTTTCCGGATTTTTATACTTCACAACAACAGGTGTCAGTGATGTGTGACAGCTGTTAAAAATTGCCCCGTACTTCACTTCAGTGTTGTTATATTTTTCTGGTCCTTCGGGATCATTGATGCCATCACTATGTGTTGAGAAGTGAGTACCGCTCAAGACGGTGCTAGGCGGCGTGAGGGATGTTGCACTTATTCATATCATCCCTCATGTACAGACTCAATCTAGCCGTTTGTGCATTTTTTTGAAATTTTGATGTGATTAATGTTTCCAATAGATCACTTTGTTGCCGAATTTTAAACTTCAAAGGTCTCTTGTTGATACCTCAAGTAGTTTAAGAGTTATGTCCTGGATAATAAAATGGGTCGGACTTATGTCCGGACAAAGCGACGACTATGTGCTCTCCTTTTGGGGAACATGAAAATGAGCCTATCTTCCAAGTATTACATGATGAGTAACACCTATTGACTTGCAATTGTGCATTAATTGTCATAAGTGTTTGAAAAATAGGCTATAATAAGTTTTTTTGCACAATTACCATGACCATCCAGCGATCAAAGCAATAAAAAGGACTGTAAGGTTAAATTCAAAGAACAGTTTTACCGAAATGATTGACAATGGTTGTCCAACCCTTATGCCGGTCAATTTCAACATCCCAAGTCCCATACACATGTATACAAAAAAGGGATATTCCCTCTTTCCAAAAAAAAATATTTTAAACAAATTTACATTGACTTTATCATTCAAACTAGGGATTTATAATTTTTGCTTAAAATTTTTGCTTAAAACAGCCTTCTTTACTAAAATTTTAATATAATATTTTGGTTATTCAAGAAGCTTTAAGTCACAATAAGTCTAAATCAATCACTTAACCTTAAGGATGCATTGAGGAAACCTAGCTTTATTTAGTGAAACATATAAAGATGTTTATATTTGTAAACTTATTATCATTGCTTACTCTAAGAGATTGGAGGAGGAAGGGCCAGGATTTTCGGTTATATGAACTTTCCGGAAATTGTTAACCATTTCGGTTTTCTAGATGAGCCTCGCTTTGAAAAGCGTCACTTTCGGACCACAGACTTTGTCATTTCAGAGAATAGATAAATACAGAATCCCTAAAGAAAGCCCAACACGGCAAAATTGAAAATGTTGCAGGCTCGGTTTGATTGAGCCTGTTCATGGACGGTACTGGAAAGTGCAAGTTCAGAGAAGTTTCATAATTTGTATTTTTATCTCGCATTTCATAGGTTTTAGCAACCAATTTTATGCACTATTCTTTAATAGTATCTGTTATTTTTCTATATTCGCTTCAATTTTGGCATAATTTCTATGTCTTTTGTAAATCAATTTGCGGACATGATTTGACCTACTTTTTGCGCGTGGGTTTCAGAACAAAGAAAGACATAATTTACAATTATTTATTATTCAAAACGTGCTGTTATTGTGAAGTTTGCCCTTGAGAAGTCACTGTATAGAAAATGGCTCTTAACTTTCTCATTTTGGGGCATTCATTTGCGAAAAGATTGTCGAGGTGGTGTTGCCATAATAGCTTATATAACCTTAATTTAGATAATAAAAGGATTCAAATTTTCTGGCATGGTGTTGGTGGTGCTACTGTGTCCAATCCTCACCACCACAAGTCTTTGTGGTCCGAAATCCACCTTGTGTCTGATTTGCTGATTTGAATGTGAAAGTTACTGTCTTAGACATTGGCTCGAATGATTTATGTAATCATGACGCCAGTGCAGTTTCTGTTGCCAGTCATATAGTTTCTTTGGCAGAGGCGATCCTTTTAAAAGGCTGTGATATGGTTGTTATTTTTGAGATATTGCAAAGACAGTCCCAACCTGCATTTAATGCTAAAGTACAAGAAACTAAACAGATTCTTAGTGACAAATGCCTAATCACCAAAATGTGATATTTTGGTCTCATTCGAGAAATAATTTCAACATTCGTTTCCTTAGGGACTATGTTGACAAAGATGGAATACATGTTGATTATGTGAGAGGCATGCCACGCTATTAATACATCAGTAAGGGGTGCTTGCTTACTTGCAGAAGAATTCCATGGCACATTGTCTTAATATATTAGTCACAAATGCAGTTTCATTGTATATAATTTAGTATTAACACTTTTCGTTCTCTTTACAGGTTTGCTGTCACTTTGAATTGTTAAACAAAAATCAGTGCATAGATTGACATATTTTGAATTGTATGTGTTGAGTGATATTTTCTACATTGCCGGACGAGCTTCCACTATTTACGTGGGTTTATTTTTGTTTTATATTTTCACAAACTTCATAGCATTTTTGATATATTTTCTCTATGTTTGTAAAACAGTTGCTCAGTTGGAATATACAGTATCCTTTAGCAAACTGTTGTCTGTTATACAGCATAGTCTATATTAAAGTCTATATTGCACTTGCAAGATTTACATATGGCTTTGTCTTGGTTCGATTCAAACATTCTTCGATCAACGAATGGGAATACCTTTCCTTTTGCAACGACTTCTGATTAATAATATGTTACATAGGAATTCTGTCCTTTGAATGTGACAGTTTTTAATTTTATTTTATTAAAACATTTTCCTATCGACGCTTAACACAAACTTAAACGATTTTACACAATAGTATATGATTATATCATTATGTATATTTCACTTTTCATCTGTTTATTTGAACAAATTTACTAACTTTTATCATTTGATTTCATTTCCATCTGTGCCAAATACTTTTTCCATTGGAATTATAGAAAATACACATGTATGCTTGTTGTTAATCTGTTCTATGATTCTAAAGAGTACAACAGGGAATGTATTTGGTTACTGTGGCAAAGTCTCATATTTTATGGACTTTTCCGTGATTGATGCATAGGCCATATTTTATGGCCTTTTCCCTGAGTGACGCATAGGACGACCTTTCCTTCTGCAATGTCATGGGGCTTTCTTTCTGACTGAGACACCAATTATAGTGACGCATAGGAAAAAAAAAACAAAAAAACTCCTTTTGCATTGTCACAATTTTAATGACTTTTCATTTATACTTTATCCTAGAGGGGCGCATGGGACATCTGTTCCTTTTGCAAAGTCCCAAAAAATTGTTTATCATCTTCATGATGCTATATAAATGTGGCGCATAGGAATAAATTCCTTTTGCAATGTCATTTATTTTAATATATTATTGACGCAAAGGGTTATTTTACCCTTTTGCAATGTCAGTTTTTACGAAGTATCTTGTACTTTTCAGTGTTTGGCATTCACATATGCAAGGAAACTATTTACTATTATGTTTATTCCCTTATCTAATACTTAATTACATGTTTCAGAATGCCAAAAAGAAAACCCTCCGCGTCTACCAGTGGTAAAGGCAAGGCCACAACATCATCCACTGGCGACGACCACAGGTTAGCGAGCATCATCGCCAATGCTTTAGTGCAGAATAAGTCTGCACTGAAAGAAGTAGCCGCCTTATTGCCACCAATGACTATAGAACCAGGCATCCGTCCCGACGGTACAGAGGCGGAATTACCAGAACCGGATCATGCCGTCCAAAAGCAGCCGCGGCTTGGTAATACTTGTACTAATAACAGTGACTCTGACATTGATGAAGACAATTTGTCAGTTTGCTCTTATTCTCATGGATCTGATCGTCTGTCAAGCTGTCAAGACAGCCCAGACACAGTTAATGAAATTGATTTAGGGACCTTTTCCTCAGTACACCCTGTCGTCAGTAAAAAATTGCGCACCAAAATCCTTAATAGGGAGTTTGTTGATCTCGGGGAGATATACTTTTCAGACAACTTACTGTCTGAAACAACTACCATTAAAAAAACACCTGGGGCAACTATAAAATCAGTGCACAAATCAGCGCCAAAACAGATTTCAAATACTGTATAAGTACTTATTTTGGCGGGGGTTTATATTTGGCTATATTGGCGGTCAGGGTCAGTAGCGCCAATTCAAAACACCGCCAATTTAAAGCACCGCCATTTTAGATCATCGCCATTATTCTTTGAAAGGTAGACAACTCATGGTAAAATAACTTTGGTTTGTTCGAGTAATCTCCCTTGATTATTTGTAATAAAAATAAACATTACAAGTAAGCTGAAAAGAATTTGTTTATTTTTTTAAGTCTTGGTAAGAAACTCATTTAATTATATATCTATATACTGTATTTATTACGAAGATGATCACACGACGAGAAACAAATCTAAATTTTCATTTATTATCGAATTTAAGTAAACTAGTATTTGTTTTTGTTTTCACTGTTATGTTTCATAATTTGAAATAAAAACTAATGATAACTGTAATTATATAGCAATCAGTTGTGGGTGAACCGTGATAACAATTTTTCACGCTTTAAAAGACTGCAGGATAATACCTCGGGCATACATTTCTCTTCCATGGTCCAGTTACCGAACACACACGGTACCATATTTACACCTGTCTGATACCAGTTAATTATAAGAATTAGCACGATGTAAAGATAAAGGTGACCAAGCATAGGTATACCGTATTTGCCGTAAAATAAACGAGGACAGTCAACTACTGCGTGACCGGTGTTATTTTTATTTATTATTTTTATTCTTTATTTGTAATCGCCAATTCATTACCCCATATTTATGCCAACAAGTGTTTTTTAATTTGGCGGTCTAAAAGCGTTTGCGCCAATTTATGACCCCGCCAATTCAAAACACTTTAAAAAACGCCAACATTTGACACCGCAGATATAATGCGCTATACAGTATCATGACATGGAATCGTGCATTCCAATTTTATGCTGATATTTATGCCAGCAAATATCAGTCTGAAGGTTACCAAATGTTCAGAATACATGACCCTTATCCAGAAACTTAGCCAATCATGGCATTTGCTTGGTTAACTTATGATCAGAAGTTTAGACAACTGAGAACTTCAGCCAATCTAGTCTGGGGTTCTATACATACAGAAACGTACCTTCATTTCATGATCTTGAAACCTTCCTTTCGTCTCAGTTCACCACAGTCAGGAAGTTCCTACACCCCTAAAGTACCCTTGCACATCCTGCAGCGCCGGAGGATATTGCTGGAATACCCAGAAATTCTCCTTGTGTTCAAAACAAATATGTGACAGATCACATTAAATGTTCCAATTGTGAAGGCTTCAATCAGGGAGCCAAGTAAGTGCACCAAACCTTTTAGACGCACACAAAACTGCTGATACCTTCTCCAAACCAAAGTTCAAACGGCCCTCAAAACCCTCACCCAAGACAGGCTCCCTCTAGCAAATAGATTTTTAATTTGCCCACACCTATCAAAGTAGATGTTATTTCCATAAAGTACTAATCAGGTCTTACCCATGTTCAGACAAAAATTTTTTACTAGATGGTTTTCGTAATGGGTTTCCCCTTGTTTCAATTGGTTCTATTTCTGTTAAAATACCACCAAAACCACCCTTCAGTTGCTAATCACACAAAAACTTTGTATCTGTTTAGAAAATTTCTTCGGAATTTATTAAGACAGAATTAAGGGCCCATACTCCTATCCACCGCTCGATAATTTCCATATGCAGCCCCCTTTAGGTTTGGTACCTAAACGTTCACCTAATTCCTTTCGTCTTATCCAATGGATCTTATCTTACCCTAAATTTTTGGTACTTCTGTCAATTCATTCCATTCCGGAAGAAAAAATTTCCACCCCTGTTCAATTAGAGACAATTTGATCATGTTGCAAGTTTGGTTCTACAATCAGGCCAACATTCCCTTATTGCCCAAAGCTGATATTGAAGACGCTTTCAGAAATCATATCCAATTTCGCCCCTAGATTATCATAAACTAGGGGTTTCACATTTCAGCGGCATTATAACTTTACACAGTGTGCCAATGGGAGCCTCCTCTTCTGAGTCTATCTTTTGATCAATCTTTCTAAAAAAGCCATTCAGTGGATCATTGCAACATTCACTAAAAGTACGGAGAGTTTCACATATAATAGATGATTTTATATTTGTTGGTTCTCCGGCTTCTAGAGAATTGTCATGAGGCACTTACAAAATTTTTTACATTTGGCTGGCAGACATAGGAATTCCAATTAAAACAGATAAAACAGTGTTTCCTTCAACGTCCGTTGAAGTCCACGGGCATAATGATGAACACAGCAACCATGAACTGGCGTCCCTACCTACTGATAAAAAAATTATAACCTAAAATCGCTTTTACTTCAGAATATGCACAAAAAGAAAGTGTCCCTTAAAAACCTTGCAAATCTATTTTGGGTCATCTTAACTTTGCTTGTAAAGTTATCAAACCAGGCAGGTGTTTCCTAAGGCGTTTATATGATCTTACTAAAGGACACACTAAAAGCTGGCATTTCATTAAAGATAAGTAAGACTGTCGGAGCAGATCTAAAGCTTTGGGTACTCCTTTTTATTCAGATTTTACGATGGAGTCCACTCTTCTTACTAATGAATAGGTTTTTTTCTTCAAAAACCCTTTATTTTATATTCAGACGCTGCGGGTTTTCTTAAAAGGTTTTGCATGCAACCCATCAGTCTTCTTGGACTTTATGGAGTTTTTCCTGATAAAATAAAAACATTGCCCACATTAATATTTCTTAAGAGCTTTACCCAATTGCCCTTGCCAGTTTCTCTTTTTTGGTAATTGTTTGCGGAAAAACAAAAAACATACTTTCATTTGTTGACAACCTTGCCAAGCAGTAACATTTGCCGAATAAGCAGACTTCAAAAGACTCCCCCCTATGATGGAAGCTTATTTCGGCATAATTGTATTAAAAGCCTCTTCGTTACAAACTTCTGTTTTGAAATGCCACCCACATTCCTTCAAAAGACAACACTATTTGTGTGATAAAACTGTCTCGATTACAGGTAACAGAGGCTTTGGAACTGGCTCCTCACCTAAACAGGGACCCTGTATCCAAATTCACGAGAAATGTCACCATGGATATTGCTCACGTGAAGAAGTCCTTGTTGCATTCTTCTCTTGCTCCGGGAACCCATAAAGCTTACGATCGGTTTTGGCAAACGGTTTCTATGCTTTTGTTTCTTACCAGTGTTTCCATTTCTCACCCTTGCCTTGGCCACACCTGATTGCAATTCAGATTTTGTTGCACATCTACACATCTTGCGGCTTTTGCACCATCTTCCATAAGCAGTTCATTTATCTGCTATATCTCACTTCCATTAATATATCCGGTTTCACAGACCCTTGTGGAAAACTTTATTACTCGCAAGATTGTTAGTGGGATGTAGAAAGATAAAACCTTCGTTCAGATACACGGGGAAGTCATTGCTAAATAATCAAACATTCAATTACTCTGTCAAGCAGTTAAAGAAATGTTTTCGCTCATGTTCCATACCTTAAATACTTATATATGGCATTAATTTTGACTGCCTTTAATGGTTTTTTCAGATTGGGAGAGCTCCTCCCTGCCACAATCTCTACAGCAGATAAAGTAGTTCAAATAACTGATCTATCATCTTCCTCTAAATCAGTCCGGCTTAAACTACGCAATCACAAAACAAATAAGTCTGATAAGCCAACATTAATTCTTATGAAACCCTTACAAACAAATTGCCCTGTAAAAGCATTAAATAATTACTTGTCTATGCGGGGACAGTCTGCTGGTCCTCTGTTCTTATTAGCCAATAACTCGCCTTTAACATTACCTTCCTTTCGGGAGGTTTTTAAGTTACTCTTACGTTTAGCAAACTTATCACCAGTTCAATACAAACATGTATTTTGTCTAAACCATGTGCCTACTTGCCTTTTTGGTTGAACTGATATGGACTGTTGTTTGTCCAACTTTCTGTCTTTTAAATCACTTATATCTGCATGTTTTATCTATGTTCTTAGTTTTATAGAGTTTTATAATGATCAATAAATCCGTCTGGCATGCTCTCAGACACGTTCAATCCAAAACTGTGTTGTGAATTCCCTTTCAAATTTTCGACAGAAATAAAACTACAAAGGCACATAGGCACACATATAAAACCTAGCTTTATTTAGTGAAACATATAAAGATGTTTATATTTGTAAACTTATTATCATTGCTTACTCTAAGAGATTGGAGGAGGAAGGGCCAGGATTTTCGGTTATATGAACTTTCCGGAAATTGTTAACCATTTCGGTTTTCTAGATGAGCCTCGCTTTGAAAAGCGTCACTTTCGGACCACAGACTTTGTCATTTCAGAGAAGTTTCATAATTTGTATTTTTATCTCGCGTTTTCCTTTTAAACAGACAACAGAATTTTATTGTCAAACTGTTTTCGTTTCGTGAAAATCTCCGAAAATAAGGTCTCTGACAAGAAGAATCCAAACCTGTACATGTTTTTGTCAAGCAGTGAGAACCACTGATGGGAAAGGTTATGACTCAGACCTACTTTTATTAAATCCATTAAACAATAGTAGTTTAAATTTTATAAACTGGGCAAAAATGAGTTGGGTAGCTATGCCTATTTTCATTGTATCCTAAAATAGAGAAAATAAGAATCCCTAAAGAAAGCCCAACACGGCAAAATTGAAAATGTTGCAGTCTCGGTTTGATTGAGCCTGTTCATGGACGATACTGTCAAGTGCAAACTACCGTCCACGCCCCCTAGCACCGGCTTAAGAAGAATTCAACATTTATCATGAACTGGTACAATATTGAATTTTGAAACATCCGCAGATGTGTTCATATGGCGGTTATCATGGAACCTACAATGTGACACGCATGTACCATTCCATGAAAAGCGGCATATGGTCTCCCAAGTAAAAACAAAATATGAAAAACAAGATCAACAAGGAAAGGCGGCGTTCAATGAACGCAACCCCCACATGACCCAGCAACAAGAACCAATGGCAAGGAGCCCAGGTGGACCCCAAACATAAAAAGGACAGGGCAACGACACGTTAATCATTAAATGATAAATAATTTGTAACTGATTAGGAATTCAAAGAAAATAATAATAGGCCCACAAAGGGGAAGGGGACAAGAGACCGGGGGAAGGGGGGGTTAATCAAAGAAATAAAAACTAGAGGCAATGGGGAAGATACTTACCGTAGACGAGAAAACAAC